TTGGTTTGCATGTTGTAATGCCCAAGACTAGGGTAAAATAATATCGGACCAAGTAATTGTTTTGGGTACAATTGTATATGATTTTTCTATATTTGTTTGAAATAATATAGTTTAATCTTTTTTATCAACTTGCATAATATTAGGACAAAGGGTATTCATTACTTTGTAATAAATTCTATATACTATTGCTAAATTCTGAGAACCATGCATCATATTAAATCCATGAGTTTTCAAATTTATAGATAATATATCTAATATGTTTGGATCTATTAAAGAAACACAAAAATTTGGAAAACAATTAAAATATATTGGTCCACTACATAGGCTGTATTCCACCATACCTAGGAGTGAATCTGCAAAGTTATTGTGTCTTGTATCTCTTAGGCATACAAGCACAGAAGTGTTTAACCCTAGTCGGGTTAAAGGTTTAATGGCTATTTGGATTAACCCAATGTGTAAATATTTATAATTATTGTCTTTGTGTTTTTCAATAATTTTTCTTGATAGTAGTTGAAAGTCTTCTTGATTCTGAGTTACTGATAGACTTTCTTCTACTGTTTTTATAGCATAACCTAATTTAAATTTAAATGATCCTTTTTGATAAATATCTTTTATTGGTACCTTAGGAATATTCCAATTTTGGATATGATCTTCAATATCATTTATAATAATTTGTTCCTTATTTTTAACTCTTAATGTTTGAGGTTGAGTTGCAGTATTACCTTTAATATTCCTAATTAAATTTGTCATCTGTAGGTTGCGGATAATGACAATCCGGATGATCAAGGGTCCAGCGTGTTCCCCTAAGCGGCTCTTCCTGGCCTTGGCGGGTACTTTGCCTAGACTTGTCCTTTCGTCTCTTGCCTTAACTCTCGGACCAACTTTCGTAGATGTAAATTTAAGTAAGTTTTTACAGTAATATTGTAACTTTTACTCTACACAGTGTAAACTTGGCTCTGATACCACTAATCCAGCATTCTGGACTGCATGGATAAAAGTATTAATATGTTTGATATGTTGATCTATAGATTCAGAAAAGATCAAAATATCATCAATATAAACTATCATGAATTGATAATAAGCATTAAAGACATCATTCATTATTTTCTGAAATTCTGATGGAGCATTTTTTAAACCAAATGGCATTACATTCCATTCATATTGTCCAAATGGTACATTAAATGATGTTTTATATTTATCTTGTTCTTGAATTTATATTTGCCAATATCCAGATTTCATATGTGTAGGTATAGGGCAACTACAATTAGTATCTTTTATTGGATTGGATGATTCTGTGTCTGTCGAAGAATCTGAAGAATCAGATGATTCTGTCCATAAAAGGTCATCATCTTGAATATGTTCTATATGTGAGTCAGTAGAATCTGAAGATATTGAATCATAGTTGATTATATTATATAATTTTGATTTAATTGAATCATCTAAATATAATGCTTCTACTTTCTTTTTTAATTTGCATTGGTGTTTGTAATGACCAACTTTTCCACATTTATAACATACTAGAAGTTTTTTTTTATTCTTTGTATTTGGAGAAAATTTATTTATAAATTTTTGTTTAGACTTTTTATATTGTTTATGTACTTTATTTGATTTGGATTTATATTTGTCTTTTTTATATT